AAACAACTTCTTTATAGCCACATTATTTCTCATTACTAACGATTTGACTTTAAAAAAATGCCCCTTTCATTGTGCCCTAATCTTCATTCGCCAAGTCATCGATTTGTGCCTCCACGCCTTGCCCGGTGTTTCGCCGGCCCTCTAGCTGGCGGATGGCCTCAATCGCATACCCTTGTCTCGATTTTTGTTATTTCTGTGTTGTTCATGCCCGTGGAGGGAGATGGATGCTCGTCGGCCGGATCTCGTCGTGCTCCGGTTTCGGGTCGCGGAAGTGTTGGTCGGCCTCCCTGGTTTGTAGCGGCGTTGGGCGGTGGCGTGTGATTGGGGTTTAGGCGTGGCCTTGGCTGCTCGCGGTTGTCAGAGGCTAGCCGGCCGGGGTTGAGGGGTGTGCTTTTGATTCCCCTGTTCCCTGCTCCTTTAGTGTGAAGGTTGGGGAAGACCGGCACTTTCAGACCTAGGCCAGTGGTGATGGCCGGGTTCGGGGTGGTGGTGTGTGGGGCGGGGTCTGACCATTGCTTTTACGACTTTGGGTCGGCTCCATCCTGAGAGTGGTTAGGGGTCTCGGGATTCGGCTTCAGCTAGGAGTCTAGGCAGTTTCGGGAACGGTGCCCTAGACTTCGGGTCAAGCCTTCGGAGTGGTCGACTTTTTTCTGTTGGTGTCTTGTGTTGGGCTCAGTTATTCTGCTGTGGGAAGGGTCTTTGTTGCTGTTTAGTTTTTGTTAGTTTCAGTCTGTCTTGGTGTTGTTTGTTTTCCTTGTTGGTCAGGTTTGTTTAGTTGTTTGTTTAGGAGTCGTGTTTTTGGCATGGGTCGTTGACCTTTGTGTGCCCGAGTGTGAGTGGGTATTATCATATTGGGATCGATAAGTCTCCATTTTTGGAGCTTTGTAGGATTTTCGTTTAGTTTTTGTCGTGTTGTTGTTCTAGCGTTGTTAGTGTGGTTTCTAGGCGATTTTTGGATTTGTACTCCCAGTTTTTAGCTCTAAGTTGTATCATTCAGCTTTGGGCTGCTTTCTGTTTCGCACTTTTGTGCACTATATAAAATCCATGATTTTCAAAATCGGACCATACCGGCCGGTTCGACCGGTTCAATCGGGAACCAACCATCTTACCGGTCCGGTTTGGAGTATTGAGCTGCTGGGCCCAAAAACCGGTCATGAACCGCTCGAACCAGTTAAAAACCGGTAGCAGTTCAACCGGTGCGGCGGTTTACAAATTTTGGACATTTTGTACTACAAATATATTAGTCCATGTCTAAAAGACAACAACGTGCTTCTGTTGTAGTGGCAAGACGTACGTATTGAATATACAAGGTGATGTGTTTGATTCTCTACAAAGAACAATTTTTTTTTTTCTCACTTTTTCATTGTATTACACTACTACTATGAATTTTTTAATTTTAATCAAAATCAAAACTTAAATTTGATTTTTAGTTTTTTATTCTTTACAAAATTAAAATCCAAATCAAAAACTAAAATACAAATTACGAACTTATGGTAAACTACAAGCAGGTTATTGATTATTGAACTCTTATTTAGAAAAATGTCATTATACACTAAAAAATTAATGATAAATATATATATAATTACATATTATATATATATATATAATAAATAAAAAATATCTATTAGTTAGACCGGTTCGACCACTGGTCCAACCAGTGAACCATCGAACCAGTAGCTTAACTGGTACATTGACCGGTTGAGTTTTCAAAACCATGGTAATAAGAAATATAAAAGAAAAAAGGGATATGTTGTTTCGAGAGTGAGGGTCCTACCCTGGAGTTAGACGACTCATTTGAGGATACCAATAGACGCTTGGTGAGGAGAATTCGGGAGGCAGATATCGGAGAGGCTATGAAGAGGATGAAGGGAGGTAAAGCAATGGGCCCTGACGGTATCCCCATTGAGGTGTAGAGATGCTTGGGCGCCAGAGTGTTAGTATGGCTAACTAAGCTTTTTAACCTCATTTTTCGGTCAAACAAGATGCCTGATGAATGGAGGAGAAGTACTTTAGTACCGATCTTCAAGAACAAGGGAGATGTTCAAAACTGTAGTAACTACCGTGGGATTAAGTTGATGAGCCATACGATGAAGCTCTGGGAGAGGGTTATAGAGCATCGCCTACGACGAGTGACGAGTGTGACCCAAAACCAATTTGGGTTTATGCCTGGAAGGTCGACCATGGAGGCAATACCACAGTTGATGGAGAGATATATGGACCAAAAGAAGGACTTGCACATGGTCTGTATCGACCTTGAGAAGGCCTACGACAGAGTACCGAGGACTGTCATGTGGTGGGCCTTAGAAAAGCACAAAGTCCCATCTAAGTACATTACCCTCATCAAGGATATGTACAAGGATGCGATGACGTGTGTCCGAACATGTGGGGGCGATACCAGCGACTTCTCAATTAAAATAGGACTACACCAGGGGTCAACATTGAGCCCTTATTTATTTGCCTTAGTGATGGATGAGGCCACAAGGGACATACAAGGTGATATCCCTTGGTGTATGCTCTTTGCTGATGACGTGGTACTAGTTGACGAGAGTAGGACAGGGGTAAATAGGAAGTTATAGATGTGGAAGGACACGTTAGAGTCGAAAGGCTTCAGACTTAGTAGGACGAAGACCGAGTACATGACGTGCGATTTCAGCATGGCTACACATAATAATGGTGACGTTAGCCTTGACGGGCAAGTGGTGGCCAAGAAGAGGACTTTCCGGTATTTAGGATCGATGCTACAAAAGGATGGCGCCATTGATGAAGATGTTAGGCATAGAATTGCAGCCGGTTGGTTGAAATGGCGTCAAGCTTCGGGCGTTCTCTGTGATAAGAGGGTGCCACAAAGGCTAAAAGGTAAGTTCTATAGGACGGCGATTCGTCCGGCGATGCTATACGGTGTTGAATGTTGGCCTACAAAAAAGGCAACATGTCCAACAACTAAGTGTAGCAGAGATGCGTATGTTGCATTGGTTTTGCGGGTACACAAGAAGGGATAGAATCCGGAATGAGGATATTCGAGATAGGGTCGAGGTGACTCCAATTGAGGAGAAATTGGTTAAACATCGGCTGAGGTGGTTCGGACATGTCTAACGGAGACCTCCTGATGCATCAGTGTGTAGGGGAGTTCTACAGCGGGTCAATGATGTAAAGAGAGGTAGAGGTCGACCTAAACTCACTTGGGAAGAGTCGGTTAATAGAGACCTTAAAGATTGGAATATCTCCAAGAATTTAGCGGTGGATAGGAGCGCTTCAACGTACCAGAACGGTGACTTTTGCTCGCTGTTCTAAAAATCGGCCTAGGCGGCGCTTAGGCGCTAGGCGGTGCCCGGGCACCTCCGATTCGTACAAATCGGCAGAAAAAATCGGCCAGGCGGCTAGGCAGCGCCTAGGCGGGCCTAGGCGGCCCTAGGCGCTCCTAAGCGGCCTTGGCCGGCTCGGCGGCCAGGCGGTTAGGCGGCGTCTAGGCGGGCGTAGGCGGACTTAGGCGCTCTTAGGCGGGCTCGGCGGCAATTTTTTAATTTTTTTTTATTTTTTTAAATACTAATTACAGTATTTTGTTCTTATGTTTTCTTTAATATATATTAATATTATTATTTGAACTTTGGTGTGTGAATTTATTATATGTTGAGATAATCTTATTTTGTAGGTAGTTAAAATAAATAAAAAATAAGGTATTTACTATTGATTTCTGGGCCCCGACTAGGAGCTTTAGACGCTAGGCACTGGTCGAGCGCCTAGCGGGCGCCGAGCGACTTTTAGAACACTGCTTTTGCTTCTTTATCATTTGCTCTAATCTCTTCTTTGTTTTGAGCTCTTTTTGTATACTTTAACAAAAATGATACATTTTCATGTTATATATGAACAATGCATTCAAATATGTTTGAGAAATTTATTCCACATATTATTAAACACGTTATCAAAATATATACATCAGATTGATTCATATGAATATAGTAGAATAGACAATTTTTATGATGCAAAGAACTGTCTAATATGTATATTTATATTATCAATATCTATACTTATATTAAAAGGTATCCCATTTACTAGATTTAGTGTAAAGAAAAGTCAAAAGTAATTAATGTTTGCTGGAAATAGAATGACATTAATTACAGATTTGTTTTGGTATTTATAGCTTGACATTAAAGATTTGTTATGGGATTAAATCAGAACCGATTTTTTTACCTTTGCTGGAAAAGTCAAATATAAGTATAGATTTGTTTTATTCCATAACATTGGTTTAATTAAAATAATCTCATAAAATCGATTTTAATGTCAAGCCTATAAATAAAGATTTAATCGGTTTTAATAAAGCAGATTTAATCGGTTTTAATAATTGCATAGAATTTCAAAGCTGTTATTTATTGTAAAAAAATTAAATTCTAAAAAAACATTTGTGTATATTCTGTAAAATGTTTGTACAAAATATTTTACCTTAAATTTATTTACATAATTTAAATTAATTATATTAATAAATAATATGAACATACATTAAATATTTTAATTACATAAAACAAAAAGAAGAAGAAGATTAGTCTATAACTTATAATAATAATGACATTATACTACAATAAATTTTATAATAAAATAATATAAGTATTATACGAGGAACAAGATTATGTAAAATTGTTATTTTTCTTATATCAATGAATAAATATATATAATGAAATCAAATTTGTATTATTATAAACATGTGAACGAGATAATATATTAATTAATTTACGGGCTAGCGCTACCAGACTCAGGTTTAATGTTCCGAAAAAAAAATGACGTTGATGAAAAAATGTAAAAAGATAGATGATCAAACTCTATTATTTTTTAGGCCTGAACGGATAAGCCCTATGGTCCACTCATTTAATATCTCCCGTGAATCGCACGTGCTACTTAACGGACAAGTTTTGTGGAAATAACTCATTAATACGTCGCACGGGCTACGTGCTAGTAAACAAAAACAATATAAACATGTTATTAATGTATACGATCATGTATATTTGTTGGATAATTCTCTCTCTTTTGTTCTAATCTCTTCCTTAGTTTTGAGCTCTTTTTGTGTTTTTCTTAGTTCTCTTGCGTTTTGTTGTTGTTGCATATGTTGATTCGACGAGTAGCTTTTTCCCTTTGTTCAAGCACGACACAACCGCACAACGAGTCAACGACTAAATTAGTCAAATTCGAGGTGGAAGCAACCTGTCAATTGTCATCTTAAGATGAATAACAACAACAACAACATGATGATGTTAGCAGGAGGCGGTGGCGGAAGAGGAAATGGAAGCGGTGGTATCGGCGGAAGCGGCCGGTCGTGGCCGTCGGCATCATCCGTCTCCGCCTCGGGGAAGCGAATCCAGAAGGAGCTGTCGGAGCTGAATACGGACCCTCCGCCCGATTGTGCCGCCGGCCCCAAAGGCGACAATCTCTACCACTGGGTTGCAACTATCTTCGGTCCCCCTGGTATGCTGATGCTCTCCTGCTTTACCGCTTGTACTGTTTAACTGTACTATGATATGGCTTGGAGCAAAGCCCATAGTACCCTGCTCTGCAAGAGTTGTACCTTGCTGTAAGCACTGCAGTTTTACCCTTGATTACGTCGTTTGTAGGTTTAGAAAGATACTTGAGTTTCAGGGTTTTTTTCCCCCAATTTAGGCTGTCAGAAAGGAAAAGGGTCATTGACATGTTCTTTAAGGGTTTGAATTTGTGGTTTTAGTTCCGGCCAAGCAATTGCTTTGTATGATGTGGTCTATATGTCACCATGTTGTGTGCATTGTTATCATGCTGGCTTCTGCTGATACTTGATAGGTGGTATCGATTATGACAGATCTATGATAAGTGGTTTCCCCCAACTTGGACTCTTAAGCATTCACCTTCCAATGATTTTTTTCTTTTCTTGCCCGATTTATCATTCGCGCAGTTAATTATTCATTTTTATCTAAGCAATGGCTTGTTGTATAAGATAATGAGAAAACTTCAGTTTGACATTTCCATTTTTTTTGCTCAGTCTAAGTTTGTTATGTGCAGCTTGCTTCACGACACTCATGCCAAGATTGCCTTTGGAACGCTAGTTTTGTTATCTATTTCGTTTCTCCTTTTCTTTTTGATTATATTGGTCTCTAATTGTTAATGGCGTTTTATTGGAGGTGAATCCAAGAAGCTTCTTAGGAGAATCTGATGAACCTTACAGAAATCCTATCTATTTATTTCGCAGGGACACCTTATGAAGGAGGCATATTTTTCCTTGATATAACATTCCCTTCAGATTATCCTTTTAAGCCCCCTAAGGTAAGTCCTATCCATGCAAAGAACTTCATAACTTCAGAAACCTGTGTCATGGATCAAAAAATTAGTGCTTCTTGTTAATTCGGCTTGACGTGAAAGTCCTTTTCTTATTTTTTCAATTATTCCTGAAGTTCAACCTTAGCCATCTGCAGGTTGTGTTCAAAACAAGAATCTACCACTGTAACGTTGATCCTAATGGAAATGTTAATTTGGATATGCTGAATGATGGATGGAGCCCAGCTCTTACCATCTCAAAAGTACTTTTAGCACTTAGATCAATATTTGTCAACCCTGATGCATGTAAGAATATCCAACCTTTTTTAAGTTTGTTTCTCTATTTCACATTTTTACTGATGAACTAAAAGGAATTGCATATAATGCACTTGTCGGCTTGTTTGGTGTGGCTTTTGTTTAGTTTTTCTACAATCTTTATAACGACAAGCGACACTATAGTGCATATAGTTGGTTTGTTCTTGAGGGAATAGTGTAATCAGAAAGACACCTTACTATTTTCGAGAATTATAATAACCCTTAAACGTGTGTACTATTCGCAATTTATTGAGCGGGTAATTTGAACTGAATTCAAACCTCAAAAGTAAGTTGTAACATGTGGTTTGGGGGTGGGAGCTTGTAATTTAAGAGTTGCTTGGGTTTTTTCACATGTTTAAGCTTCCATGTGATGACCCTGTTGTTTAACTGTGTGGTGAATGAATTTTCGAATCATGCTGGATTCTGCAGATAAACCCCTTGTTCCGGGTATTGCCCATTTATACCTGGCTGACCAGGCAAAGCATGATGAGCTGGCTGCTGAGTGGACGCAAAGATTTGCAAAGTAAGATGTTGAAAAAAGATAGCAAAAGGATCAAGTGATCCAGCTAGAACTATGGGGCTAAAAATATGCATACTTCTTTCTAATGCTGATTGCTGAGTGATTTGAAAGACAAAATCAACCTCCCAAGCTTGTTCTGATCACTCGACCTTGTTCTGATCACTCGGTTATATTATTATTATGTATTTCAAATCGCCACATGCCTTTGTAAATATGATTTTTTTTTCTTTTCTTTCTCTTTTCCTTTTCTTCTCTTTCCCCCTTTCACTCATAAATTCGACCCATGCACATAGGCTAGATGTTTGTGATATTGGTGGTTCAATAAGAATGTGAAATCACATGTTGTATATGTCTTTACCTACACCGATAAATCTTGAAAATATAGTATGAAAAATAATGATATAACACATAATGAGAAGACATATATATGTTGATGAACTAGTTTTAATGATGATCATATTCTTATTGTATTTAATCTCTGATTGTTTATAATGTTCATCTTTAAGGAAAAAGGAAAAAAAAAATAAAAAATGATCTATCTCATCTTTGGTTTAAGAATAACAGACAGTGAGTTCAATTGGCTTAAGAAAAACAGACATTGGGTTCAATTTATACGGCCAATTGTGTGTATACTATAACATATAAACAGCAAAACAGCATTACTAGACGCTAGTTCCAATAATCACCGAATGACAAAATACCAAACCAAAACAAAAAAACAGAACATCACTGATATATTATTGACAAAATATCTGAAAACCAAAACACAGAACAGAACACTTGAAGAATAACTAAGTCTGATACTATTTAACTTTTTCTCCCAATTCCAACCCTTTCTATATCCCAAATGTATTGTAAAACAACAGACNCCCCACGAAAGAATAATACGCTACTCCAAAGAGAAGAAAACAAAACATAGCCAACAAACAAAAACAAAAACACCAAACACTAACAAAACACCAAAAAATACAAACACAACCTAAAAAGATAATAAAGGATAAAGCCCTTCTCGCGGCTATTCCAAAAGTATTGTAAAACAACATACAACAAAAACACAACATAAAATAATCATAAATTGACCTGAAAAACGAAAAGCATCAGGTCAGGAAGCATCGACGCCATTGTCAACCCTCCTAAACCTCAACCACCCCTTGGACTTACAAACCCTCATCAACAAAAACCAGAGAATCCCAGCCGCAGTCATAACCCCACTCACCAGGTACACCGTCTTGGTGGCTATCACCATTATATACACCAAAAACCCAGACGGCACCAAACACATAACCACAAGCCCCGGCAGGCCGATCGGCACTCTGTAAGGCCTCTTGATCGCCGGCTTCTTCCTCCTCAGCCACAAAAAAGACGCAAACTCCAAAAGCATCCCCAAACTGTACAGAAAATTTGCAGACGACACAATATCTGTATAGCTCATGTACGAAACCCCTAGCGCAATCAGAGTCGAAACCAAAATCCCGACCCAAGGCGTGTTGAACCACTTGGACCTCAACGCAAAGAATCTCGGCAGAACCGCCAGGTCAGCCATTCCCAGCATCTGGTACGCGCAGCTGCTCAATTGGGCCTCGAAAAGCCCGATTGCGGACAAAACGGCCCCGATCTCGATCCAGAACTTGAGCCACTTGCCGGAGATGGTCTGGGCAGCGTCGGCCATGAATCCGGCTTCCCATAGGCTCTGGTCGACTGAGACGGCCCCAGTCACGGCCACCAGAGGGATTATGTATCCCAAGCAAGTCAATATCACGGCGGACAGAAGGGCTAACGGGAAGGTTTTGTGTGGCTTGTCCACTTCGCCGGCCATGGTGCTGACGTTGTCCCAGAAGTTGAGATTCCAGAAGAGAGTATTGAAGAATAGGTTCCAATCGCGCTTCACCCCGCTCTGACCTAGGCTGATCCATCGATGGGGACGGATTTGGGGGATTGCGATTAGGGACATTATTATGAAAGGGGCTAAGGAGACAATCCCTAATCCGACGGCGAAATAGCCGACTATGGCGAGGCCGGTGTAGTTGAGGAAGGAGAGCAAGAGGGTTGAGATTAGGATCGCTAGTGTTCTAGGGAGTCCCGAGGCGAAGATTGGGAAAATCCGCTTGAGGTAGTCGATGGCGAGGGCAGGGAAGGCGGCGATGTTGATGACGCCGCTGAGGAACTTCCAGGTGCCCATCAGGGAGCCGAAGAAGGGCCCGAAGGCGCTGTCGGCCCAAGTCACGAACCCGCCGTTGCCGGGGAAGGCAGTGGAGAGCTCGGCGGTGATTAGTGCTTCCGGAATACTCCATATGAAGGGGAATATGAGGAAGCCCAGGATGGCAAAGAGGGGCCCGGCGGCCTGGACGGCGGGCTCCTCGCCGTAGGGACCTCCGGCAACCTCGAAGTAGATTAGGAAGATGAGGGGGATTAAGGTGAGCTTCTTGGCGGAGATTGTTGGGGCAGTGGTGGTGGGAAGCTCAGCGGTTTGCGGAGGTTGGTCGGTGGGAGGATTTGTTGTTATGATTCCCATTTTTATTTTTATTTTTTTTTTGGTTTGGCGGTTTGAAGATTTTTTGGTTTCGGGGTTTTGTTGTGGGGTGTTTTAAAGAAATTATTTGTTTGGTGCTATTTGAAGAAATTTAGTGATGTATAAAATTATTCACATGAGAGTCTGATTGATTACACAGTGCAAACAAATATCAACTTGTCTTTGATACATTTGACCTTGTTTTGTATCTCCATCAAATTAGTTCAAATTATCTTCTTAATACCACAAATTGGTAGCTTTGACTAATAAAGAAATATAATATCGAAGGAGGAAAACAAGTACCATTCGGAGATTGGTGAAAAAGGAAAATATTGTCTGTGATTCAAAAGAGGATATTGAAGATTCTATCTCTGCTTTTTACAAGCACGTTTTTTACTCATAGAGGGAGTTCTAGGTGGGAATTGGTTGAAATAACCTTCCAAAATAAAAAAAATTGACCAAATGACCGTTGACTCGAAAGGAAAAAATAAACTTAAAGAAAAAATGATATTGAAGATACAATTACTAGTATACCCCTTAACACAAATCTTAGATTTTAAACTGATTCCTTCCTTCCTTCCCCTATTTCCTAATTCGGCTCCTTCATTCTTTTGCTTCTGGCGACAGGTTCAAAAAAAAAATCTTCCAAGACTCGCTCGTCTCTCGGACCTCTCTCGCTCTCTCGGCTCTCTCTCTCACGCTCTCTCGGCTCTGTCTCATGGAACTCTCTATTGTCAATGTTGGTAAGAAATTTTTTTAGGGTTCATTTTGTTTTTCATTTTTTCTTAAATTTTTTTTGGTAAGGGTATAATGATGTTGAACCTTTTGTGTTTAGAATTATTTTTCAAGCATGCTAGATTTATTAAGTTGAAGAAGAAAAATGAGTTTATGTGTTATGTGTTAATTGAAGAAGAAGATGTTGAAGAAGAATTTTTTGATCTTGAAGAATGATGTTATGTGTCATGTGTTATGCTAGATTTATTAAGTTGAAGAAGAATGTGTTATGTGTTTAAAGATATGAAAATGGGGTTAATTGTTTAATATGTGTTATGCATGAAAGTGAGGTTAATTGTTGAAATGCTTGTAGGATTGAGTTGGTGAATTGGTGCACTCTATGTGTTTGATGAAAATGCTTGTAAGGTGAACTCTATGTGTTTGATGAAATGATTGTAGGATTGAGTTGATCAACTGAAAATAACGAGACTTCTATGTTTGTAATATAATATATAACTAATGTACATTCGTTATAGAAATTGTGGAAACGACTCTATTCTTGTAAATGAAAGAGAAGGCTTTGGGTGGTATATTTTGTGTCATGTGGAGACCTTATGATTTATGTTGTCTTTCTTTTCTGTTTTTAGGAACCAAAAAGGAATATGCGTTTGATATACCTTCCAAATGCAAAGCAGTCGTGACCAATCGGTGCAACCTCAATGTTGTCAGTGACGTACTTGACAACCTAGACAAAGCACATAAAAAGCGATTTGTAAAGTCTTGCTTCCGGCCACTAGTAAATATTCCCGAGCTCATATTGTCCTCGCAAGTAGTCCACCAAGTACTTCGTAGGACATTGAAAGCGTCCGAAAATGACAAAGATGCCGTGTGGTTCAGATTCGGGGAAAATGAAGTTAGATTCGGGTTACAAGAGTTTTGTCTTGTAACTGGATTTAAGATTGCGGCGGATGATGAAAATGCGTACGAGGTCCCCAAAAATAACAGTTCGCTTTTGCAACTGTTCAAGAAGAAGCGGGGGAAGATCAAACGCAGTGACTTACTCGAGGAATTTCATAAGGTGAAAGACGCGGAGGCGAAGTACAAATTGGGACTTGTGACGGTCTTGGAGCATGTTGTTTTGTCTGCAGAGTGCGAAACTCTTGTAGATGAAAGATGGTTTGATTTAGTTGAAGATTTAGAAAAATTCAACAGTTATCCTTGGGGCAACTTGTCGTATCAGCAGACTGTAAAGTTGTTCAAGCAGACCTCTTTAGGGAAGTGAAAAAATCCAAAGTTCATAAATTATTCTTTGCATGGATTTCCCCTGGCTATTATGGTACTTTTCATCTAATTCTAAATATATATTTATGTTCTTTATTATTTATTTGTGTTAGTTGTATTTTTAATTATGATCTCTTATTTGCTAAGCAGATTTGGGCATTTAAGGCGCTACCCGACTTAGGAAGAGAATTTGCCGAAAAAAAAATTGGTTTCCTAATTCCAAGAATGTATGGTTGGAAAATTGATAAACAGTGTCGAGGCGAGCAGCTTAATACTTTTTTCGACAGGGCGGAGGTAATTTTGGTTATACATTATTCTTCTTATTTATTGTTATACTTATACTATGAAAAAACTAATTATATTACAATCAGATTGAAGTTCGACGAACATTGGAACTCAGTTCATATGAAGTTAAGTCTTCATATTTGAACGAATTGGGTATAATTGCCAAGGAAGTAGATAGTGCCCGTCAAGATGAGGATGAAGAAGGCACTGCAACCAAAGTTGAGGAAGAAGGCAATGATGATGATGATGTTGTGGATGATGAGGAAGAAAAAGAAGATGAAGAAGAAGAAGAAGAAGAAGAAAATGCGTCTCAACGTGATCCACCACAACCTCATGTTTTGGATGAAGAAAAGATCGCAGCTATAGTGAGGAAAGTGGTGAAGGACGAGGTGAGGAAAGTGGTGAAGGAGGACCTGGGAACAGATCTGTAAGCGTCTTTGTCGCGCCCGCGACAAGTGTCGCGCCCGGGACGACTTGGCAACAGATCTGTAAGCGTTTGTGTCGCGCCCTCGACAAGTTTCGCGCCCGCGACGACCTGGCAGCAGTTCTGTTTGTAATTTTCGACCTTGGTCGTGATGGTTATTTTGACCTCGGTCGATTATAAAGAAATCATTCTCGTTATATTGCATTTTTTGAAATAACAATACGTGTTTCTTTTCTAAAATGGATAGGTAATGACAATAGTCGTGTCGTTTTTGGTCGTATTTAATCAAAAAATAACCGTAACGAATTCAATCTCGTTGCATATTACATTATACAAAAAAATGGAAATCAAATCCACATTGCAATAGAAGAAAAAACGCTGAATATCCAAATGTTGATTCCAAAACACAAACGAAATCACAAATCAAAACCAAATGTCGATTCTAAAACACAAACCAAAACACATACCATAAGTCAAACCAAATCCAAAAGATAAAACTGATAATTATGAAGTCTGGAATAAAAGTCTTTGCCTAAAAACAACGCACTGTCACTGTGCATCATGTGCATCCGATGATGGAGGTGGAGGTGGAGGGTAGGGTAGGCTGCTGCCTGAACTCAAGCGAACATCCCATTGCTGGAACTGGTCGCCCCATTGTTTCCACTGATCAAATTGTCGAGACTCCCATTGGGTCCAACGTCCATCGAGCCTCTTGGTGTGCTCCTCCCAACGCTTATCATTATGCTCAATAAAGGTATCGAGCCTCTTGTTGTGCTCCTCCCAACGCCTATCATTATGCTCAATGAATGTATCGAACCAAGCGGGGGCTTGTTGAGATCGCGCGTCCGCAGCGCCCGCGTCAACTGCTGGAGGGAGGAAATAGTCCGCCGGGTTGGTATGTTTTTCTTCGTCCTCCGCCTCGTCCTCGGAATGAGACTGTGGCTGCGAGGAACCACCTTCTCCTAACGATTTCTTCAGCTCTGACAAATATGCCTTGTAGCACTCACGATGTTTGAAATGTGGTGCTGTCCTTAACGAGATAGGCTTTCACCAAATCCCACAACACAATCTTTTTCGGTTGAAGCGGCACTTCATCAATTTGAACATTGAAGTGCTTAGCGAGCCCGGTGACGATATTGGCCAATCTCGGAGGGCGCGTGGCAAAGACTTTCGTGCCCTGGAGTGTCTCTATAACGAATGCAGTCATGCATATGGGCTTCTTTGCACACATTGCCCACAATAAATAAACTTCTTGCTCGCTAACCTTGTTGGAATCTTTCTTGCCAAAAACATTGTAGCATAGAAATTTATGTACCACCGCAATGGCCACATCTTTGATTAGCCCATTCGATGGACCTTTGACTTTGAATTTATCGCATGGAGAGAGAGCGGCCCAAGGCTTATCCACCTCAAAATCACCGGGTACTTTGCGAGACCCCGTCGTGCGGAAACCAAATACCTCATTCATCACCTTGTTATCAACCTTGTATTCATTACCTTTCATCCGGCAAGTGAAACTTGTCATTGTTGTGTGGTACAAATGTGGTAAAGAATTCAACCGCTAGTTCCGCGCATGCCACATTGTCCATGGCTTCGTACTTGTCAAGATTGAGGGCCTTCAAGTGTTTCCTCATGTCTTCCGAGATTTTTAGCGAGTCTAGCAACTCCCAATCAAGTGTCCTTGGGATCCGGCATTTCATCTTCATGAGGCGTTTGTACGAGTGCACCTCATCTTGAGAGAAAACTGGGAATGGAATGCCGTGCTTTTGAGCCAAAGTTTGAGTTTCGGTATCCGAGTTCGAGTTGCTATTGTTCGAGCCCGGTGAAGAAGGCAGGGTTTCTACAACTGCTTTTCTTTTGCCTCCGGCTTTGCCTTTTGCGAGAGCATTCGATGACGATGCCTTACCCATGCTCGGTTATTGGATACTCTCGAAGGAAAATAGTGGATGCAAGCAATATAGCCCTCTTCCGTAGTTGTGGCAATTTGTCGAACACCTTGTGTGCGAAATTATGTGTTTGAGAATTGTTAATAAGGAAAGAGTTAGAAGATTCCTCAAACCTCAAAAAATTAAAACTCTTCAAAAAATTAGAGTGACCTTACCGTGCGGTGAAGTCGAGAAAACAACCTTGCCGGAATGGAATTTCGGGAATTAGGGCTCTTTTATGAAGACAATTTGGCCGGAATCTATGTTGCCGGAAAGAGGGAGTGTCCTCGCCGGTCGGAGTAGATGGCCGGATGTGGTGTTGTCGCCGGTCGGAGTAGGTGGCCAGATGTGGAAGTTGGCGGATAGGTNCTTCTTACTTCAAATTTATGAAAATGAGGAATGTTGAATGAAAAATGATTTTTCTCCTTATATAGTTTCGGTACCTCGCGGGCGCGGCATATCTCGCGGACGCGACACACACACGGACAGACAAGCTCCCAGGATGTCGCGGGCGCGGCGAATCTCGCGGACGCGACACACGAGCGGACAGACCTCCTCTCAGGACGTCGCGGCCGCGACAACCGTCGCCGTAGCGACACAAAAAAAACCTTTATATCAAAAAGAGTTTCTTATGAGTATTTCGACGCTCTAACGGATCTAAACTATCGTTAAAAGGTGATATATTACCAACAACAATGTTATACTTGTGTCGAAAAAAAAACAAACCGTAAAGAAAGCGCGGTTTGGTCGAAAAACTACTATAACGAATGTTCATTAGTTATAACTAATGTACATTAGTTATAGTTGTTTTTCGTAACAAATGCGCCTTACACGACCGTGCGTCCGTCATATAACACGTTATAAAGATGTTAAACTCGTTATGGGTCTCATTTTATTCATTTTTTCATGTAAAATAAATAATTTACAAATATTCTACATCATCTTTCATTTTACAAAAACAAAAACAAATAACAAGTGTTGTTATTTCAAAAAAAGAGTTTCGTTGTGAGTGTTTCGGCGCTCTAACAACTTCAAACTATCGTTCCAATGACACGTAACATCAACATATAGGCGTTATCAAGTAACTCGAAAAAAAAAAACCGTAAAGAAAGCGCGGTTTGGTCGAAAAACCACTATAACGAATGTTCATTAGTTATAACTAATGTACATTAGTTATAGTTATTTTTCGTAACAAATGCGCCTTACACGACCGTGCGTCCGTCATATAACACGTTATAAAGATGTTAAACTCATTATGGGTCTCATTTTATTCATTTTTTCGTGTAAAATAAATAATTTACAAATATTCTACATCATCTTTCATTTTTCAAAAACAAAAACAAATAACAAGTGTTGTTATTTCAAAAAAAGAGTTTCATTGTGAGTGTTTCGGCGCTCTAACAACTTCAACTATCATTCCAATGACATGTAACATCAACATACAAGCATTATCAAGTAACTCGAAAACAAAAAAATACCGTAAAGAAAGCGCGGTTTGGTCGAAAAACCACTATAACGAATGTTCATTAGTCATAACTAATGTACATTAGTTATAGTTGTTTTTCGTAACAAATGCGCCTTACAAGACCGTGTGTCCGTCATATAACACGTTATAAAGATGTTAAACTCGTTATGGGTCTCATTTTATTCATTTTTTCATGTAAAATAAATAATTTACAAATATTCTACATCATCTTTCATTTTTCAAAAACAAAAACAAATAACAAGTGTTGTTATTTCAAAAAAAAGAGACTCGTTGTGAGTGTCTCGGCGCTCTAACAACTTCAAACTATCGTTCCAATGACACGTAACATCAACATACAAGCGTTATCAAGTAACTCGAAAAACAAAAAACCGTAAAGAAAGCGCGGTTTGGTCGAAAAACCACTATAACGAATGTTCATTAGTTATAACTGATGTACATTAGTTATAGTTGTTTTTCGTAACAAATGCGCCTTACACGACCGTGCGTCCGTCATATAACACGTTATAAAGATGTTAAGATCGTTATTGGTCTCATTTTATTTATTTATTCATGTAAAATAAAGAATTTACAAATATTCCACATCATCTTTCATTTTGCAAAAACAAAAGCAAATAACAAGTGTTGTTATTTCAAAAAAAAGAGACTCGTTGTGAGTGTCTCGGCGCTCTAACAACTTCAAACTATCGTTCCAATGACACGTAACATCAACATACAAGCGTTATCAAGTAACTCGAAAAAAAAAAACCGTAAAGAAAGCGCGGTTTGGTCGAAAAACCACTATAACGAATGTTCATTAGTTATAACTAATGTTCATTAGTTATAACTAATGTACATTACTTATAGTTGTTTTTCGTAACAAATGCGCCTTACAAGACCGTGCGTCCGTCATATAACACGTTATAAAGATGTTAAACTCGTTATGGGTCTCATTTTATTCATTTTTTCATGTAAAATAAATAATTTACAAATATTCTACATCATCTTTCATTTTTCAAAAACAAAAACAAAAAAAAAAGTTTCGTTGTGAGTGTTTCGGCGCTCTAACAACTTCAAACTATCATTCCAATGACACGTAACATCAACATACAAGCGTTATCAAGTAACTCGAAAAAAAAAAAACTGTGAAGAAAGCACGTTGGTTAAGAAAAACAACTAGAACGAATGTACATTTGTTATAACGAATGTACAGTCGTTATTTTTGTTTTTGACAAAATCCACCTTAAACGATCGTGTATTCGTCATATAATACATTATAAAAATATTAAACTCGTTATAGGTCTACTTGTACTCATTTTTAGTGTAAAATAAAGAATAAACAACGATTCTACATTATATATCCGTTTTTCAAAAACAAAAGAAAAAGAACTTTTAATGTCGTGACCTCAAAAGAAAAACAAGTATTGGGGTTGGGCCCGCGATAAAATACAACGATTCTTCATTATATATGCATTTCCAAAAGAAAACAAGTATCATTATTTCACATTTCAAAAAAAAAAAAAAAAAAAAAAAAAAAAAAAAAACGCCCGCGACAGCCATCTTGTCGCGCCCGGGACGGGCCCTCGCGGGCTTCTGCAGCTCGATATTTGGTGTCGCGCTAGCGACGACTATCGCGCCCGCGTGGTCCGCCTATGTTGCGCCCGCGAGCATTGTCTCGCCAGCGACCTCTTAGACAGCTTTCTGTCCAAAATTAACAACAGTGTGTCGCTCCCGCGACAACCTGGGAACCTCTCTGCCCGACCGATCTACAGCTTCAGTGTCGCGCCCGTGACAGAAGTCGCGCCCGCGATATCGATAACTAAGATACCTTCGTTATTTCATAGTTCATAACGACTGTACTTTAGTTCTAATTATATTTTTAGCCTTTTTTAGTGTAATACTACTATATACAACTATAAAACGAGACTATAGTCGTTTCCAACTACATTGGAAAAATATTTGAATAATCACTACATTGGATACACATAAAACATTATACACAAGTCAAAATACAACTTCAAGCTTTAGCAACTGCATGGCCGAGTCAAAACACTATACCAAAAGTGAAAACACTATAAGTCAAAAGCAATACACTAGTAAAAAATATAACCTCACGTCGCTTGATTGAGGTTTATCTCCTCACACTTTCCACGATTATGGCCGGGTTTTGAACACCTGCTACATTTACGCGTTTGACGAGGTTTAGAAGTTGATTTTTTTTTAGCCTCACCTGTTGATTATTTCCGTTCGAATGTAGGTCTGCCCCTTGGACGTCGTGTGAGTGGCGGCAACACAATTCTTGACATAATTTGTTCCGGAACCATCCAATCGGTCTCACTAGGCAAAGGGTGAATGGGTTGAGAGTATGCCTCTCTCCAAGAAGCGCTCGAATACATTCCAGTGCAGAATCTGTAGCGGTTGTCATTCAATTTTATTGCGGCAATGGCATGTTCACATGGAAATAGATCCATTTGAAACTTCCGGCATGTGCATAACATTTGCTCGAGATCAACTATATGTCTTCCACCAACTTGGAAAATCATCGGGGATACATTGAGCACTTCTAGTCCATTGGACTGGTCATAATTGTTGCGCATCTTCTGCTCAAATGGTGGGGTAAGAAAACTACTGCATTTTGTAGAATTAAGATTTCTTTCGTGGAACCACTTTTGCAGTGTCGCCCGGATATGTTCAATCAGACCAAGGATAGGAAATTCTCGAGCACGCTTTAGCACAGAGTTCAACGATTCAGCATTGTTTGTCGTCATTATGTTGAAACGAGTTGCTCTAAAATGTGCTCTAGCCCAACGGTGCAACTCGGCTTTCTCGAGGTATTCCCGCATTTTCTCATGGTTATTACATAATGCTGCCATGTTGCATTCGAAATGAGACATCGTGTATGCTTCAGCTGTTGCCCAAAACAAGGCATCTAATTCCAATCTTGGAAACTCCGATTTTAGGTTTCTCAACATGTGATAGTTACAATATCCATGATGTGCATGTTCAAACACTTCAACATAAGCACCAGAAATACTGGATCCCCTATCTGAAACTATAACAAGATCTGGAGAATCACCTGTT